GGCATGAAGAAACCAGAAAGCTAGAGTGCCTCAGAGCTACCTTATATATACACAATTATATATGCGAACAAGCCTGAATGGTCCCCAGGACTATATGCGACTGAAAACTCACACCCCAGAAGTGACTCGAACCCATACTGCCAGGAGCAACGCAACTGGTATCTACAGGACGCCTTAATCTGCTTGACCATCTCGACCGGACAAATTATATATATATAGTATATGTGTATATCACGAAAATAAACACGTGATTAAAAATGTGACAATGTCAGACCACGGAGGAAAAATGAAACAGGAATTTCCTTAAGTACTTTCGTATATTAATACATCTTCAGAAGGAGTGGAGTGCTCCTTCTGAAGATGTATCAATATACGAAAGTACTTAAGGAAATTCCTGTTTCATTTTTCCTCCGTGGTCTGACATTGTCATATATAGTATAGTCTTAAGAATCAGTATTTTACTATTTACTAGGGAGCAGACGAAACACCAACCAGAAACACTGGACCTCTAAGGAACACTCGTCTGTGTTTTAGTACCCTGTATTTTGACCGTAGTGGCAACTCAAAGAGGACGGACTGCTCACCCCTAACATTATTACCTCAGAAGAACAATGTTGGATACCTTTGTCTCAGTTGCCTGGACTGGGCTGCGACTCAAAGGAGTGTCGTCTGCCAATATATGAACCACAGAGGCGCCGTCACAGCACCGAGAGGTCACAAGTCGCACCTTCCATAGACCTCCAGTATCAGCTATTGACACTGGTAATGGCTCCAAAGGGCCTCCACGTACGGGCTATTATGCCTGTGCCACCTTTTGGCTTAATCTTCAATCAATCAATCAATCGTCACAGCACCCAGTGCACACTTTTTTTTTAGTGTCAGAGTGGTTGACAAATGGAATGCATTAGGGGGTGATGTGGTGGAGGCTGACTTCATACACAGTTTCAAGTGTAGATATGACAGAGCCCGATAGGCTCAGGAATCTGTACACCTGTTGATTGACGGTTGAGAGGCGGGACCAAAGAGCCAGAGCTCAACCCCCGCAAACACAACTAGGTGAGTACACTGATGAACCATGTTTCATTTGTTTGAAGCATTAGTTCGGGTAGATTAGTTTTCAACCAATCAACGCAGGGTGCTGCTTCACAACAGTTACTCTACTGGAGTCATATTACACACAACAGTTATTCTACCAGTTTTTTTACCTGAATTTACCTGAGAGCTACTATTTCTAGTGGTTTCGACGAGGACAGGAAGCCAACAGCTTGTCAAAGGTTCCCCCCCTCCCCCAATTTGTCCTGATGATTTGATCAAACCATTACTCGACCAGGATTCTATTAAACACAACAGTTACTTTTTTTATGTAAAATTAACTATATCAAATAGGGTGGACTGTAACGCTGTTCCTTCTAAAGGTGTTGAACACTTGTAACTGTTCCTTCTAACAATGTTCAACACCTGTAGCTGTTCCTTCTAACGATGTTCAACACTTGTAGCTGTTCCTTCTAACAATGTTCAACGCCTGTAGCTGTTCCTTCTAACAATGTTCAACACCTGTAACTGTTCCTTCTAACGATGTTCAACACCTGTAGCTATTCCTTCTAACAATGTTCAACACCTGTAGCTGTTCCTTCTAACGATGTTCAACACTTGTAGCTGTTCCTTCTAACGATGTTCAACACTTGTAGCTGTTCCTTCTAACGATGTTCAACACTTGTAGCTGTTCCTTCTAACGATGTTCAACACTTGTAGCTGTTCCTTCTAACGATGTTCAACACTTGTAGCTGTTCCTTTTAACGATGTTCAACACTTGTAGCTGTTCCTTTTAACGATGTTCAACACTTGTAGCTGTTCCTTTTAACGATGTTCAACACACGTCCTGGAGCTGCTGTTCGTTGTCATTGTACTGCTATTCACGAAGCAGTTACGCAAGCACTTACGAACGTGTACACCTTTCCTCAATTTCTGACGGCTTTGGTTACATTTATTAAACAGTTTACAAGCATGAAAACTTGCCAATCAACTGTTGTTATTGTTATAAACAGCCTTTTGGTGCTTCAGATCACATTAACTGTTTAATAATTGTAAACAAAGCCGCCAAAGATTGGGAAAAGATGTGCAGGTTCGTAAGTGCTTGCATAACTGCTTCGTGAATCTGGCCCCTTAGTTTTATTAACCATTACTATTTCCTTTCCACAACAATGCCCTAGAATTACTTGTCCTCGTATTTTCTCTCCGAGAGCTTCAATCTCTCTACCCTTAAGATGTTGATTCTGTTTTGCCCGTTGTAAGTCCGACTCACAATGGTGTCCAGCCCCAGCACTGAATTCTTGCACAACGTTCCATTCACCTGGGCTGAACAACGTTATTTGAACAACGTTTGAACAACTTTTGCCTCATATACTCTACCTCTGACCTCGATCCAGATTTTTTTAGAAGTTCTCTAATCCCATTCATTCTCTGCCGAGCGTGTCTCTGATTAGTACTTTCATAAATTTGAAAGTGATTTCAGTAAAGTGCAGTCGCTCCTATGGCTTGTTTTCGAGGCTTCACTTGGTCTAAAGTTATCTGAAGTGTTGCAAAAGTGACATGCTTCTTGGATATATTATATGTGATAGTCAACTCAAATTTCAGATTGGTAGCTTATGAGATTGCAAGTAAAAGCCGAGAAAGGACAGGCACAGAGACAGTCACGAAACCACTACGTCAGTTTTTGAAGACCACTCAAAATTATGCTCATATGTACGAAACATTTCCTACGTCATGTTATACAAATATGAAATATAGTGACACAATCTCTAGCATACCGTAGTGCGCTTTCACATCTCACGAATATTTGTACTCTCATAAAAAACAAAACAAAAATCGTCGTATAGAGAGGTATTGTCGTACAACAATACCTCGCTCGCTGGGTTATATTATATATTTTTTTACTTTCACCAAATACCTACCAGCTTCCATTATGAGATGTTGTGACTTGAGCTCAAAGAAAAGTTATACTCTCGCTTGACCGTGACAACACAATGCTCTCACTTGACCTGAGGTCACGAATAAAGGTGTCACGTGGTTTCTTGTGTACATTGTACACCAGTGTACACCAGTGTACACCAGTGTACACCTCTATGTTTCACGTTGTTCTGTTTCCGTGGCCATTTGTATCAATTTGTTTAATGATATAAAACAAATTAACAGTTTTACTTTTCAGTAAATTCAAAACGATGTAAAACGTATTACTGTAGTATTCGGTGATTATTGCAGCCGTTTCCAACAATACCATACTGGCCCTCTGTAGATATATAGTCAAACTGTATCCTTGGAACTTACCTGTAACGTGCCAGAGGTTTCACTTTGATCCCGTGATGGAGGCCATCGCCCATTTTACCTTAAAAAAAAAGCGTATAATATATAAAACAAAAGTCAACGGGCGGACACAACAGCCACATCAATGAAAACAAGAGAGAGAGAGAGAGAGAGAGCACACCAAGAGCCTAATAACTATTCATAAAACAAGTATTATTGCGCATTATATAAGGATATTAGAAAGGGATTCGAAAATATAAATAAATATATACACTATCATGTAAACATACACATAAAATAAGAAGATAGGAGAAATCTTAATACCGTCGATATGAGAAATGTGAATGAAATTTCTGCCTGCTTCCTTGCGCCAATAGGCTACCCTGGATAGAGGCCATAATGGTTTGTAGGTAACGCCTACCAGAGGCACCAGCAGGGGCCCCGCCTACCAACTTGTGGTTACTGGATCTCACCTAAGAGTTTAAAGGATGCAATAAAATTATCATTGATCTTGCAATATGCTGAGGATTATACCCGTGGCTGGGCGAGTTTTTGTTTCCCATGTAGGAACGATAAACATTCAAGGATTGAACACATTCCACTTCGTCGCTTTCTCTGATTTTGCGATTCTGCGTTCAGTACATAAATTTCGTTGTTTTTGTTGTTGTTGCAACTTCTTTGTTTTGATAGCTATTGGGAACACTGAAACGATTTCGCTTACTTCCTCCATGTCGGTTTCGGAGAGGTGTGTGGTTGAATCTATTGGTCACAGAGATCAAAGTTAGAAGCACACAGAGTCTGGGATCCTCTCGGACGCAGGTTCGAACCCCCGTCACGGCCCTTGTGGATTTGTTCAAAGTTAGAAGGCTTTGTGCGAAGCATTACTCGAACGTCAAACACCTAACAACGAAGAACAAATGTTCAATAGCCCTCTGGGCAGGCGTTGTCATTTATTCTTTAAACCGAGGAAATATTTGGTCACACCTGCAATATTTACATAGAGCAAGACATTGTATCTGAGAACTTGACTGGGAACTAGCTCTAAGCAAACTCTTAAGACGCTCTGGACGATAGAGCGACGGTCTCACTTCATGCAGGTCGACGTTCAATCCCCGACCATCCAAGTGACTGGGCACCATTCCTCCTCCTCCCCCACCGTCCCATCCCAAATCCTTATCTTGATCCATTTCAAGTGCCATATAGTCGTAATAGCTTGGTGCTTTCTCCTGATAGTTTCCTCCCCCCCCCTCCCCCCACCAACCTGAGGGACACTGCCATTTATTCTCCAAACTATAATTTCGCAACTCATTGTACCTATAAATAAATAAATGAATAATTCAGTCGGGAAGACAAGCCGACGAGCATGATGGTAATTAAGTTTTGAATTTGTCCATGACTTGCAATTTCTCGTACCCTGTATAAGTTAAGACAATTTATATTTTATAAAAGTTATACTGTAGTTTCTTATCAAATTAGACGTTAATAACAAAGATTAACTGAACACTTTATGAGAGGTTTGATTTATCATTGGAACTGCTATTTGTTTAAACTAAAGCTACTGATTGCATTCTAATACATATATAAACAAGTTCAAGTATGTTTATTGAGACAAGAAAGAAATACATCTCAAAGTGATAGGCTTAGGCTATTTCTACCCCTATATATAAACATATTTAATTAACACACTTTATATTTTTCAGGGTATTCTTGGGCCTGGTCTGCTGTGCCCTAATTGAAAGTGCACATGGGCAGGACGAGTATTATGATTATTATGAAGACGCGCCTCTAGACGACACGGCCGCTGCGGCGGAAGGAGCACCCGCAGACGTAGGCGGCGAGGAGCCTCTACCTGAAGAACTTCCTGTAACCGAGGCCCCGACAGAAAAGCCCGCACCTGCTGATACACCAAAACAGAGAAGGAAACTGGTAAGCCTTCGTAAGACTCCGAGGATTGGTGCCACCAGAAGAACATCATCACCAGCAGCAGCAGCAGCAGCTCCTGCAGAAACTGGCAGTTCTGACGATGCTCCTGCCTCTAGCAACGGACGCGCACGCACACCCAGCACAAGCAGTACAAGTCGCTCGCGGCGTCCATCGTCGAGGGTAAGCGGAGCCTCACAAACTGCTGCTGCTGACACCCCTGCTGAAGCTCCCAAGGAAGAAACCCCCTCTAGAACTAGATCATCCCGCACTGGGTTCCGCCCATCCTCTCGCTCAAGTACATCGAACTCTCCAACAGAACCCACGACCCGGCGTTCCTTCAGCCGCACATCCGCCACCACAACCCAAGCTCCTAGCGACAACGGATCTGGCCACCGATTTAACCGTCGCCCAACCTCCTTCACTCCCAGCAAATCTAGGGGTCCATCTTCACGTGCCAATGCTGAAACTGACGACGCTGCTGGCTCCACTACCCCCTCCAGCAGGTTTGAACGTCGACGCAGACCGTAGTTAGCAGTGTACTTACACACCCTCTCAGTATTGAAACAACTCATATATATTTCTCTTTAACAATCTCAACACGCAAAATACACGTTCGATTTGGCTATACAAACTGCTGCAATTTGACTAAGCATGTCATTTCATCTGTATGAGTTTCATTGGATAACATGGATACATTACACTGAATTACATATTAAGGACATTATTTCTTCTGAATTGTGTAATAATCTATTGTTTCCTTTTTCTTTGATCCCATTATTAACAATAGTAATTTAACTTGTCTTCCCTGTGCTCTATACTTTCTCTTCTGATTCATGGAACTTATCTTTTTTTTTATTTTATATCAATTCTGCCTCTCCTCAGTTTAAATGCACTACTGTTATTTTTTTAATAATAATAGCAGCATATTGTAATAATTCTTCATTTGAGATTTACTGTTTATTCTATTCACTGTTCATTTATATAAAAAGTTGGTTTCTCATTTTTTTTCATTCTCCATGCTATCAGTTGTGTGTAAATTTTAAGCTGTTAATAAAAGTACTGTAGTTATATTTCTATATTCCTGTTCCTTGTTGAAAGTGTACGGCATAGGGAGAAACAAGACTCGAGTGACATGATTAACAAGTGTGAAAGATCCCAATTTCTGCTGCTTTCGTTAGGAATAACACACAATGAACCAAAAGAAAGGGTAGGGTAGGGGGGGGGCTAGGAAGCAAATTTAGCAGTTGCATTTATTATTACTACGCTAACAGGGTAACCTTCTTTTCACTATTCCTTCATTTTTGCATGAAACTGCTTTTCGTTTTTTGCATTGTAATTTTAATTTTACTTGCGTAGTATATACGGTGGTTACTTTTAATTTAATTAATGTATAATATTTATGCAGTCCCAAGAACTCGGAATACAGTATTTTGGGCATATAATGAATACCATTACATTAGCAATACTGTATTATATGTGACAGTGGTCGTCAGTCAGCTTTCTGGTGGGATAGATTACTTAAATGAAAGACTCGGCAACTTAAATGAACGAATTACAAAAGTAATTGCAATGACTTACGCCAGTAAGGGGTTCTTTAGCGCAGTAGCCTATGAAGTCGGCTCACAACCAGTGTCCGAAGTTCCATTCCTGGGTAGAACAAAGACGGTTGGGTTAGTTTCCTTTTATCTGATGCCTCTATTCACCTAACAGTTTATAGGTACTCGGGGAGTTAGGTAATTGTTGTGGGTGGCATCCTGGGGCAGGTCAGTGGCTGGCCCAAGGGGGGACTTCGACAATTCCACGGATTTAAACAATATTATCCAATTTGTTTAGGATTAAGTCAAATGTAAAATCATTTTTGGTTCAAAAAGATTAACACATCTCGTAACGTCGAACTAATATCCACCATATATAACGGCGTTGAGGGAGAAGAGAAAACTTATTAAAAAAAATTACCAGTCGCCACGATATCCAAGAGTGGCATTGGTGACGTTGAATAGGCATTGCTCTTAAATACAGCGCCCACTGGATTATTATAGGCGTAGTGTGTTCTTGTTCTTCCCGTTGAATTTGTTCCCCGATATCATAAAAGTGAACAATATTTCTGGTTCTACAGCTGCAGCAGGTATAGCCAGAATTGTTCCGCGCGATCTCCCCGTTCGCGCAGCACAATCGCCAAGTCTTTATTTGTGTTGTTTTTATATCGCTCCCAATATTTTAATTGACCGCGATTTGTTAAATCAACTTGTGCTTGAAAAGCAATTAGCGTAGACTTGAGCGTAGACTTGAGCCTCAGTAAAGGGACGTTGAATAATTCAGGAATAAAAATAACTTAAAAGTTATTATTATTATATTTTCAATTACGTTAGAGAAAGATTTATAGCTTTGAATTAGAAAATAAGTGCTCTAAGGTAACCCAGTTAACACTCAACTCTTTCAAGCTTGACACCAGAATGTACTTCACTCGTTTAATGATGATTTTAATAATTAATTATAAATTATTATAAAATTACGAAAATCAGTGTAACCTGTTCAAGTCACTCTCTTTGGGTGCTATATTATTTTAATTGTATTAAGTATAAAAGGAATACCGTACAAGCATACTCAGGTAAATTAGCTTTATAGCAGACACACACTCTCGTGAGTATTGTAATAAATATTAATATTAATTAAAAACTTATTGTACAATAATAGATGAAGACTCAAAAAATATTGGACCTACCTCGTTTAAAATAGTCATATGATTACTAGCCCATAAGTTTCCTGCCAACTACACATGTTTTGATCAAAATACAGTACTAGATGTAGTATTTGGTCGACCCCAAGAGGTTGTGTCATTGAAGTGTTGGGAGTGGATCAACCCGCCGGGCACCAAAAGGTTGCACTCTGGGGGTCGACCCCGACCCGCTTATGAGTCATTCCCCTATAATTATAAACCAGTGAGACAACGAAATAAAAGTCTAGGGACTAGGCCAGCCACCTTCCACGGTTTTCGTGGGGTTCGCCATGGTAGTCAATCCATTTTTAGCAATGGTGGGCCGACACCGACCCGCCAATGACAGAACCCCCGTCCCCAATCACCTTAGATATGCATTCTCTCTCATAGATTGCCCGTTCAAATTTGATCTGTCCTAGTATGCTTAAAGTACGGTAATATCATCATACGTTATAAAAAAAAAGGGAGCCTATACAGTTGTTTTTTTGGGGGGAAGGGAGTGGTGGTGGTGCAACAGTCACAAAGTATTTATTGGGTGATGAGTTAGGTAAGATGGTGTGGGGGTTATTGTTGGGGTTCCCCCCCGTCCAATCCCAAATCCTTATCCTAACCCCTTCCAAGCGCTATATAGTCGTAATGGCTTGGCACTTTCTCCTGGTAGTTCCCTTCCCTTGCCCTTCCATGGATATAAAGTTACAGGCAGATAGAGAGCAATAAGATGTGAGTACAGTATGTGAAAAGATTAGTTTAGGTGATAGAACAGGAGCGAATGAGACTATAGAGGGAAAAATTAAAACATTTAGAAAACGAGAAGCACTTTTGGAAGTAATGTATCGAAGAGCTGCGGAATGTGAATGATAATGTCCTACGAGAATGATAAATGAAAAATGGAGGATTATATGTGGTAAGAATATTTTGATAATCTAATGGGAGATGATGATGCAAGAGATGCTAATGTGAAAATTATTAAATTTGTTGGTGCGAGAAGAGTGCAAGATTGTATGTCAGCTGGTACATCAATGGTAGAAGTTAGGACATCAATGAAGAAGCTGAAATATGATATAGCTCATCAACACCTACAGTTTTATGTTGAGATGATTAAATGTTGCAAAAAATTTAATATAGTGAGTGTGGAGAATGTGTCAGAAGACCTGGGGTAGTGGTCATGTGTCAGAAGACCTGGGGTAGTGGTCATGTGTCAGAAGACCTGGGGTAGTGGTCATGTGTCAGAAGACCTGGGGTAGTGGTCATGTGTCAGAAGACCTGGGGTAGTGGTCATGTGTCAGAAGACCTGGGGTAGTGGTCATGTGTCAGAAGACCTGGGGTAGTGGTCATGTGTCAGAAGACCTGGGGTAGGGGTAATGTGTCAGAAGACCTGGGGTAGTGGTCATGTGTCAGAAGACCTGGGGTAGTGGTCATGTACCAGAAGACCTGGGGTAGTGGTCATGTAAGACCTGGGGTAGTGGTCATGTACCAGAGAAGTGAGAAAGACCAGTATAACTGTACCACTGTATACAAATAAAGAACATAGTTAATGTGAGGACTATAGAACCATTAGTTTACCATGCGTAGTGGATATAGTGTATGTATGACAGGATAGTGACCGGAAGGTACAGGAAATTACTAGGATATTACTTCCACCATGGAAGCCTGATATGTGTAGGGATCTACAGTGGAAGATGGTGTGTAGATAAGATATGGGCATTGTCTGCAACCTGTCCTCTTAAATAATACATTGCATTTTGATGTAAAAATCCTACAATGGACAAACTATGATGTACTATAAATCATAGAAGCTCACAAACCAGTCCGTCCTCTCGTTTGTTGTGTCACAAAACTGATGTACTAAATTGCCTGAACCCAACCTAACTGTGGACACCCCAAATAGAAAATGGGACATCATGTCAATTTTAGGAGCCACTATGATTTTTAGTACATCAGTTTTAGACATTTGGGGATTTATACTTCAAAATGTGATGTATTATTCGAGAGGAGAGGTTGTTCAACCACATTTTCCATGATAGTGGTAATGATCTTAATGCAGGTCAATCGATCAGGTTAGGTTTGATTCAAGCAATTTTGTACCTCATTTTCTCTCCATTGTAATAACCTGAGAGGACGGGCTGTTGAAACAGCTTGAGAGAATTCATGCGAGAAAGACTAGTTTGAAAATTACATTTATATACTGTTAAATGTTATGGAAAGTTTATATGTAGGTAATAGTGCATATCAAAGAATTAATGGTTAGAATATTAGAAACACATACTGTAGTATGAGTAATAGGAGTATGTCATATTTGATGTACACAGATGATAGTTATTTTATCAGAGTTATGTAGACTAGCTGACAATTGTATTCAGATATGTGAGTGAAGACTGTTAAAAGTGAATATGGACATAAGTAAAGACATGGTGATGGAGAAACAATAAAATTCTGTTTTAAATAAATGTGAATGGTGAAGTGTTGAAGGTGACTGATCAGTTTCAATGCCTGGGATGTGTGATCGCAGACAAAAAAAATCTGTGCCATCAAAGTTTTGAGTAGGATTCAGTCAGCGATGGTGCAGTGGAAGCCCTGAATAGGAATAGATGCAGTCAAAAGTCTGCATTTAGTAATAGTGCCCATTCAGTAGTACAGTTGGATTCTTTCGACTCACAATCAGGAATTCTAGGTCCAAACCCCAAGCAGGACAGAAATGGTAGGGTACATTTCCTATCACCTAATTCCTCTGTTCACTTAGCAGGAAATAGGTACTCAGGAATTAGTCAGCTATTTTGGGGCTGCATC